TTCAAAATTTTGAAATCTTTTTTTGCCTTTTTTTCAGTCTATTTTCTCTTTCTTCTCTTTCTTATTCTCTCTCTCTCTCTCTCTCTCTATTTCTTTGGGTTGAAATTTGAATTTTGTTTAAAATTGTATGAAAGTGTAGTGATCATTCATCAATTTCCATTGGTTATGTCTAATTTCAGCGATAAATTTAGCAAAATAAGTACGGCAACGCTTTTTTTCTCTTTCCTTCAATTAATGCAACATTTGAAATTTTACTGAAACTTTGTAAAATCTTTACGACAGATAATTCAACAATTTTATACAGCTATCAGCAAATATTTCAATTGTTTTATATTGTATTATCCATTAGAACACAAAGAAAAAAGAATAAAACAATAATGACTAATTAATAGAATTATTTAAAAAAAAAATATTGTAAGTTAAAGTTAACAGTTTTTAAAGGTTTTATTTAAAAATGAAATTTGACATGAAATATTTTATTATTCCATTAAATTACTATTATCATTAACAATACCCATTGATAATAGAATGAATATATTTTATATTGTCATACGTTTTAGAGTATTAAAGTAATTTTGATAAACATAATCGAAATGTAATAAGAGACTGTTGAAGTTTGTTTATATCTTAGTTTTATCATGTGGTAAAATGATTGGTTAAATTATTCTTATCCCTCTCTTATTTCACTTATTCATTCTCTTCCATTATTCTTGAATTGAAGATTTTAAAATTCATTGAAACATCGACCAATCTTATCATTTTCTTTCTTCCCCCTTCATCATATAACACTTTCACATTATCTTCTTTCACTCTCATCTCCCGCTCTCCCGCGTTCTCCCGTTACATTATATTTTCTTTAATTTTAATCCTTTTTCAAAAAAGAAAAAAAAAGAGAAAATAAATATACTATATTTAATTAATTAATTGATTAATTAATTATTCGTCTTTTAGTATGTTGTGAAAATTTGAATTATTTTATTGGGAACGGATTGTAATAAGTGTGTAATAAGTGATAATGGAATTTAGTTAAAAGAGAATTGTGAAATTTCTTGGCTTCTTCCTAAATGAAATAGTAATAAATTTATTTCATCTTCGATTTATCCTATAAAATAATTTATTTACATTTTGTTAAATGTAAGCTATTTGATATTAAATTTCTTTTTCAAATAAATTTTCGCTATTTTTCTTGCAAAAAGTTTTCAAAAATTTGACAAATTTTTAAAAGTTTTTTGAAGTTTGATAAATTTTTTAAAAGTTCGATAAATTTAAAAAAGACCGAACTCTGTTACAACATATCTTTATCTTTTATTCATTCATTTTCACCTTTATCCACCTCACACTATCTTTGAATCAATTAAAAATTCATTTCATTTCATTTTCTGCTTCTTTTTTTCTTTTAATTCTTTTACTACTTTCATCCTTTAGTCTTTTTCTTCCCTCTCTCTCTCTCCCTGTCTCATTGTTCAAAGTTTTGCACTTAGGGTTTTTTTTTAGTCCTGAAATCTTTATAAATATGTAAGCGTTAATTTTTATGGCTTATTTAAATCTTATATTGCTTTACTTTTTCATGTACGTTTTCTTCTTCAATCTATTCAACGTGATCACGTTGAATAATATTCTATTTTACGTAACATTCACGTAGCAACAATACGGGGAAAAAAATGTGTCACATTTTTGTTGCATATCAATTTTGCTATAAGATGATAGAATAGATGAAATTATAAAAGAAGGCATTTGATAATTTTCATTTCTATGATGAATTAAGAAATCATAATTCAATTGAAATTTTAATAAATCTTTTTTTCATTCCTTCTCTTTTTCATCATTTCTCATATCCCTCCAATTTATAATTCTGTCTGGTATGATGAATGTTTAATCGTTATTCACTTCCTTCTTCTTTATATCATCTCATATCTTTCATCTTTCATCCATTCTACTTATTTACCTACCTGCCTTGTTAGCTTGTTTACAGATTTCATCGGTCATTAATTAATTCTAACCCTTTTCCATTTCTATTTACTTCCCGTAAATCTACGAGTAATAAAACTTTTCCAATAAATCAATTTTGAGATTTTTGTTGGGAATCATATATATATTCAAGGCCGTCGTTGAATCAGCCAGTCAGTCATCCTTAATCCTTCCCTCTATCGATCATCTTGTCCCATTAATTCCGGATTATTGCACTTCTCCACTTTTCTTCTTGAACTTATGTATATATCAGTTCATTCCATCTTTTTTCTTCTTTTTTCGAAATAGTTCTAATGGACTTTTCAAGAAATTATGAAAATTTTATAATTTTTTTTTGTTTAAAATTTTCCTCTTTTTCCAATTTAATTTAATCTTTTTAGTATTCTGAAGAAAACAAAAAGATAACAATTGATATTAAATTTCAAATGAAATAAACTATTTTGGTAGAGAATGAATGGATGAAGAAAGTGTAGTAAGGGTTTTGAAATTTCATTGAAATCAATGAAGTTAAGAGATGAGGAAGCTAGCATCACTAAAAGCTGCTCACTATCTATGTATACGTCCGATAGAGAGATTTTATAAATGAGTTAGTTGTTTAACTTCGGCTTCTTAATATTTTTTGTAATGATCATTGTTAGATTGCTGAATAATTTATGAATTCATTTTTCATGTGCTTTAAATTTCATAGAATTAAATTTTATTTGTTACTTAATCAGACTGGATATATTATTAGTTTGGGCCATTTTTATGTTTCCGCATAATTTGATGAATAAATTTTGAGCTAATTTATGAAAATTTTGAATAAATATGAAAGTCGTCCACGATAAGCACGAAAGAGAGAGGGGGAGAGAGAGAGATAGAGAGAGAGAAGAAAAAGTTTGTTTTGAAATAAAATTTCTGAATTCTTCATGATATTCATATTTAATTTATCAATGTTACACTTTTCAAATATGCCATTCATCAATAATTGAAATTCAAAATTTGTTATAGGTAGCCTTGTTCTTTGTTCCTTTTTTTCTTTTGTAATGATATGATGAAGAATGAAATATGCAAATTCGAACAAATTCTCCCAACCCTTTGTCAAACATTTCGAAATTGTTTTGGAATTAAGGAATTTATTATGACGCAACTGGTCTGCTGCTTGTTTTGGGATAAGTGTAAAAGGCGCTCACATATATAAACCGATCATCTGCATCTATAAATATGTCTGTGTGGTATCTGTGTCTGCGTGCACATACTATCTCTATCTATCTATCTATATATATATATGGGTATGGTGCGTGTACGTGTATATTCGTACGCTAGATGCACGCTACGAGCAAGGTTATACAGCTATTCAGTTATTTTGATCAATATAATTGACCTCATTGTAAACTCTTTATCCATTTTCTTCTTTCTCTTCTCTCTGAGCTTCCTCTTCTCTCTTTCTTACTTTATCCTTCACTTGTTACCTTTAGAAAATATCATTATCATAATTGGATAGATTGTTGATGGTATGTTTGAAATATGACATTGTACGATTACTGACAGTAATGGGACATATGGATGGATAATTGAAACATTTTATTTACGCCTTGATCTTAGTACTGTGGTCATTCAAATAAATGACCACTAAAATTCTCCCATCTTTTCTTTAACCAATATAAAATGCAAATATTTTGCAAAACTAAAACTAAAGAATTGGTAGAAATAGATGGATGGATAAGTGGAACCGACATGGATTGCTGCTGTCGCGTAATTGGGAAATAAATGGCGGTGATGGCAGAGGGTAAGACGAGACATCATAGTGTATGACCACAGCCTGTCGTGTATGTCTACATAGATATCCTATATATATATATATATAGATTTCCTTTTCAAATATTTTCATTCCATTGTCTAATATATGTATGTATGTGTGTGTATTTGTATGTGAGATGTGTGTGTTTGTATGTGATGTATGTGTGTGTTTGTATGTGATGTATGTGATGTATGTGTGTGTGTGTGTGTGTGTGTGTGTGTGTGTGTGTGTGTGTGTGTGTGTGAGGGTACAGGATGAGTACAGCTTTCCTTATTCCGTTGCTTATTTTCATGCGATCGGTATACTTATTATGCACTCTGAATGGATAAGCTCACATGTTTCCCATTTAATGCCAACAAACTTTCCAGACATTTTTATTAAATCATTCGTCTACTACTACTCTTACAGTTAATTTTGCACCCTTTTCACTCGCCTGTTTTCATCTCTCCTTTTTTTTGCTTTGTTGTCATTGAGAACCTTTCCTTTCTCTCTTCCTCATCTTCCTCCTCCTTTTCCTCGCCCCCTCTTCTCATTTTCTTCTCTTCCTCTTTTCAAACAAACAAGCAGTTTGAACTTTCGCAATCATTCTTCCCTTATGCCATTAAAGCTATGTTTGCTCGCTTGTTTTTTATTTGTCATTCTTTGTTTCAGTCGACGTTGTTGTTTGTTTATCATTTAATTTTATCATTAGTATTAGCATCACATGTTACTACTGCACTGCTGGTTGTACAATAGCAGTAAGAACTAATAATATGTTTATGTTGTTGTTGTTGATGATGATGGTGATATGGCGGTACAGCAGTGTAATGTTGACGTCATTAGAAATTTGCATATTTTTGGATGAAATGGAATGTGTACTTATGAATGGATTATATTACAACCGGTGATTAGTCTGTTAAACCGGTTAGTTAACTAGTCGGAACACTTTCGTAGCGCGTGTTTTTGCGTGAAAGTGTGAGATTTTGTTTGTTTTATTAAAGAAAAGATGTTTATTAGAATTGTTTATATTAGTAAGGTCTTTGTTTATCTGTTATTGTATCATTTCTTCCTCTGTGTTTCACCTCATTATACCTTATGCTAATGCTGTCGTCTAATTTCTTACGAATTCTACTTGGTTAAAATTTAATTTGATAACAATTTTTCCATCAGATCATAACGATATCCATCAACTGTAATAGCAACAGTAAAGCAATTGCTGCTATAATAGCAATAGCACAACGTAAAGTTTATAAACAAACAATAGCCTGGATAAATGGTTTGGGTGAAAAAGAAGAAAGTGGCGAAAACAATATCGACAACAACAGCAACAGCTCGTTGCTTCACAACACTTATCCTTCAACTGTGCATATTATTGACCATATCTGTGGTAAGCTCTTTTTTCGTCATTCATGTCTATTTGCTTATCATAATTTTCAGGGTACCATTTATTTTCATCACATTAAAGAATCTGATTTCAAGCCAAATCGTTACTACACGTGTACCGCTGAAAATACCAAGCTTAGAGATTACAAATTCGGTAATCAGTTTCGCCTCGATGTCACCAAAAATCGTCGACGAGCATGTAAGACTTTCGTTTTATATTTCCATTTTATCTTTCTTTGTGGTTTTCAAAACTTCCATAAAAGCTCAGCTTGAGCAATCTTATCGTGGTATATAGATAATAAGATCATAAAACAGCAGTAAATAATTGTTTTTAGTTTGTGCCTTACCCGAAATCGTAACTGGCCATTTTGCAGAGACCTAATAGCACCAATAACTTGTTAAATATCTCGTAACTATAATCTTAATCTAATTTTGCGTCCCTTTTTTCTTTTGCGGGAATATTCGGTAGAACATAGTATGTAAGGATAGTTGGTACTGTAATTTAATTTGTAAAATTTCAACCGATTTTTTCACTGAATAGTCCTTGAATTTTTTTCTTTTTTTGGGTCGGAAAATTTTTAAATTTATATATTTTGCGTATAATGAGTACATTATGCAAATTTTCGGTTTTTTAGTTCCAAAATCAGTTTTCATTGATCTTAAACTCCAAAATTTTTTCAGTTTTTGTGTGCGAAGTTTTTCCATGATTGGTTTTTCTAAATTGGGTAATAATGGTATGGTGGAGGGTATTTAAAGGCAGAAAGGCCGAAATATGTTTTTTAAAGAAAAGAGTGCATAGGTTAATTTAATGTACCTTATTAACTATCGATTTGCGGCCGATTCTGCTATGCTTTAACTAAAAGCTTTAACTAACTGTGCTTTAACTTTTCCCTTACATGTCAAAATATAAGTTTCAACCTACAGTAACTTAATTTTCTGTGGTTTTATTTCTCATAATTTTTTTCGGGGGAGGGATGAAATAGAATAGAAAGGAGAGTAATGTTTTCAGTTATAGAAATTGTAATTTTACGTAGTTGATGGTTTCATTATAGTGGGAGTTGGAGTATGACATGAAATTCATTAGCTATACTTTGAATGCGGAAAGAAGTTTGATCAGGTGAAAATTCTATGGTGAAAAAGATGAAAATGGGTATCAATTATAGATGGCACCGAAGGGTACAGATTACATCTTTCCCTTTTTCTTTATTTTCGTTAAAACTTGGTGCTTTGCTTCTACTTCATAATCCTTGGCATTTGTGACATGTAGAAAATTAAGTCTGAAATGAAAGTGAAGTTTCTAAAGGAAGAGTGAAAGAAAGGTAGCAAACAAGAAACCCTGGTTATACCTTGATTATTTTTCTATGTTATATTTTGTTAAGTTTCTCTTAATTCAGAACTTGTCAACTTATAGATGTCATTATGATTGCTAAAATATTTAATTATTGCAGTGACTTCGCCGATACCTCCCAGCGAACAGTATGTAAATCAGAGCTCTCCGATTGCATTGGAAGGTAACGCGCATAAGCTTCATTGCTTCTTCAGTGGATAGTAAGTTTTTGCTGTTTTGAATTGCCGTGGAAGTTATAATCATCATAATGCTTCCTGAAGGAGAAAATATCAACCGCAACAGCGAAGTAGTACAAAATATCGTAGAAATTTATGAATAAATGGCTTTATGTGAATATGAATTTGTCTATTGATTTTGACATATTTTTTGTTCATTTTGGGACTAATCATTTAAATTTGTGAATATCATATCTGAGAGCTTGTTCTAATTTGTGTCTAAGATTTTCTGTGGTTTTGTTCCTTCTTGAAGAGATTTCAAGCAACTCCAAATATATTTTTAAGTTTTCAACATATTAAATTTCTACTGAAGTCACACTTAGACATTGATCTTGTAGTTTCAAGATGAGAACGATCTAATGCAGTTTTACGTTGCTGATTCCTTATTGATCCATAGTTTTTTTGCACATACCCCATTGTCTTTTGGATTTTTTATTTCTCATATATCGAATTTCTAATACAATAATGGCTAGTGGGGATGTGTAAATTAGACTCTTTCATCGGAGTGTAGCAAGCATTCATCTTTCTCTCGTCTTTGCCTTTTCTTTCTCAGAATATGAACGATGAGGAATGAAAATTTAATTTTAAAACGAACTAAAGCTTAGTTAAAACGCAGCTGTCTTTTTTCTTCTCTTCTCCCCCGCCACAGACGACAAAACTTTCGAGCAGTCGATTTTAAACGGCAAATTATTCCCATTCTTTCTTCGCCAAAAAAAATTTTGGATTCATTGCTAGACAACATATTATATACAATTTTTATAGGAACCAATTTTTTTCCGGTTTTTAGAAAAATGTTAAAAAGTCGATTCAGAAATTTCTTCTATTTCGAAAATTTATTTCTCATTTCTGAAAAAAGATGCCAAAAATAAACTTGATGTTTAAAAAGGAAAGAATAGAAGCAAGATTTCTCTATCTGATGACTTTTCGACAGTCGTTGTTCGAGGAATTCTGCCACTCACTTATTAAATTTTAATTAGTAACCATCTCCTTCTGCTTTTATGTAAATTTTTGGAAATCATATTATTATTGTACATACAGTTATGTTCTCGAGATTATGTTAATGATTCTCATTTATGGAATTGACTTTATTCACTCGGTCTTATTGAATGGAGTCGTTTTTTATCCTTTCAGTTTCCTACATATTAGTGTAGTTGTTGTGGATATTATTGGAACTATTCCAGAATATGCGCATGTGTTAAGGGTTCTTAGAAAAGGAACCTTTCTCCCATTTGGCGCCTTCAATAACATCTGTTGATTTTTGAAATAATTTTAGTCCGGAACCAAAACCTGTATGGCGATTCAACGGTGTTGACATTCGGGAAGGTGATTCACGTTACACTTATGAAGCATATGGAAAAACATTGGTTTTCAATGTTAGCGCGGAAACAGAAGGCGTATATGAGTGCATTTTCAATGCTCATCCGAATTTGGATCGCAGATTCGACGTTGTCGTTGAAGGTTCACTCAGATTTATAAAATGATTTCGAAGTTAATCAACAATGAATAGATTGACGAATCATCTGTGTATTTCTATCAAATATGATTAAGATTTTGTCAGGATGGAACAGAGTTATAAGAGCGGGTTATTAGCACGTTATTTTCAACTATTAACTAAGGATATTCCTGATGAAAAGATTGAAATGATAAAATTTTTACTATATTCTTATAAATTTTTACTTTTTGCAGCTGCACCTTATTGGGTGACAGGTCCACCGCCAAACAAACGAACAAGCGAAGGAGAGAACGTAACCTTTGATTGTAGTGCCAATGGGAAGCCGGCTCCTGTGATTTCATTTTTCAAAAATGGCGTTGGTTAGTCACGGAATTTTTAGGGAAATCGTTTTATTCAAAGGCTATATTTTTCTTTCCGATTCTATTCTCCCCATATAATTTGTTGCGATACTTCAATTACCAGCAAGGTTGCTGCTTCCTAAATTTACTGTATATTTATTATTAAGCTTTCTCATAGCTCCTTCTTTAGTGTTTAAATTGTCAGCAATGTAATGAGTATATTTTGCTATACCTATATTTTATGCTTAGAGATGAAACCAAGAGATGGTGATGTCAATAGAAATTGGGAAATAACAGGAAGCATTCTCTCATTAAGAAATGTTAAAAAAGGTGTTGCCGGCAGCGGTGACAATGCTGTTTACCAGTGCAAAGCAGAAAACAAGCACGGATATTTATGGGCCAATTTCTACCTCAATCTTCTTGGCAAGTGTTCTCTTATATATCTTTTTTCTGAAAAGAAAAAGGAACCAGACTAACTTAACATTCTTGTAAAATTGTTAAACCAAAACTTCTGTAGTTGTATTTTGAATTTTCATACTCTAAAAGCTTAAGAAACCCATCAGTTGGTAGTGGATCTTCTATTCGAGATGTTTATTTCCATGCAATTACTTCGCAGTTTTCTGAAGTTATCTTATAATTTTTGTCTAATTTCCTAACTCTTTAGCTTTCAAGCCAGAACTTCTTTCTGACCCGGGTGAAATTGAAGCTGTAGTTGGTCAAAATGTAACATTGGCATGCAAATTCTTTGCTTCACCAAACGTTAATATTACATGGGAAAGCGCTGTGTTGCACGGTGTGCGACATAACGTTGTACCAGCGGATGCTGATGGAGAAGGAAAACTCATTATTGATGGTTTGTCATTTTTCGGATACTTCTAATATTTTCATCTTCGGTGACGTGGAAATCTACGAAATCTTCCACCCGTTTTATTTACGTTGCTGTTGTTGTTTAAGAAAAAAATTGGGATAAGCAAAGCCAAATTCTTTATTGCCTTTTAGCGAATGGAAAGACTGTGAAGTTTTATTGCCATGGGTACTTCTGATCTTATACTTGGCAATAGGTATTGTAATTTAAATTGCCGGAGTTTATTTGTAGCCGTCGGTCGAGATGCGGAAGGTGAATACACATGTATTGGGACGAACAAACATGGCACAAATAAGGGAACAGCACATTTAATTATACGCGGTTAGATAAACATATTCTCCTCAAAATATCTGATTACTTTGAAGGAAAGAACATGATTCTGCTATTATTCCAGGGTAACCTGAGCAGTCCTGGATTATTAGCCCAACACATTTGGGAGAGCTTAGCTAACTAATAAGAGAATATCATCTACATAAGAGAGCAAAAGTTTTGAAAAGAGTGAAATGTAAAAGATTATTTCTAGTTTCATTTATAACTAGCACTAGTGCTTACTATGTTGAGACTAATACTAAGTTTACTGAGGATAATAAAGAACTGATGGTGATCTCTTCATCAATTGTAATACGTAAGGGCAAAAGACATGTATGTGAGAGGAGACGTCAATTTTATATTCCTCACCGGGAGAAAAATGAAATTTCTTTTTAGAAGCTACTCGATTAGAACCATTCGAAAGGCCTTTAGAAAAGGTTTTGGCTGGTCAACGACTCGAATTGCCATGCACGGCAGAACATGACGAAAATCTTGAAGTTACATACGAATGGCTTGTTAATGGAAAGGTAATGAGAACAGAGTTAATGGTTGTAATATTGATTGAAATCTTTCATACTATTATTAGTTGTGCGTATTATTGTGTTGAGTACCCTACACAGTTCGGTAGAAAAATTGAGTGAAAAAAGCTTTCTTCGAGTATTTGGCGAAGAAAAATTAACATTAAAATGAAATGTACAGCTAATATTGGATTCTTGTAATCAAATATTGCATTCTGGATTAATCACAATGTAGTAGTTTCATTACCTAAGAATGTGCTACTTAGTTTAGTAAACGCAAGTAAAAATGGTAATAATTTTGTGTAGTTTTGCATAATTAGCTAATTTTATCAGTTCTTTTCATCAAGTATTCCTTGTTATTTACATATCCTATAAAAAACTGTCATTACAGCCATTATTCGAGCAATACATCCAATCTGGTCATTATCTCATTACCGACAAAAATTCACTGATTATTACAAATCCGGCAAGATATGATGCTGCCAATTATACGTGCGTCGCTAAGACCGCGTTGGATTCAGCGGAGAAGTCAGTTCAAGTCGGAGTCGATGGTACGTATAAATGAATCCCTATTGAATAGCTTAACAGTACAGAAGTGATACATATTTGAAAAGCAGTACGAAAGTGTGACGCTCGAGAAATTCCAAGCAGACTGAGAAGGCATCACCGAATATTAGCCTTCGAAAACTAAACTATTCAGGTGTTGAGCTGATCTTGTTCGGTAAAGTGTCATAGTCTGAGATATTCGAGTGGCTTTTTTCGTACGATATGTTTAAAAAAAATTTTTTTTGATTTTAGATGTTCCAAATCCAGTTCATATGGCATTCCTTACAAAATGTGACGATACTGCCCAAATAGCGTCCATCAGTTTTGAATACATGGAAGATATTGATTTCAGTGCTCCAATAAAAGAAATCTGGTATATGCTGTAGTTGGAATTTCGAAAACTTCAAATTGCGGCTTAAATATAATTTTTGAATAGAAATGAATTTGCTAGGGAAGATTAATTTCTCTGCAAAATTTTCGAATTTCAGGGCACAGTATCAAATCGATGAAGAAACCGATGGTGTGGTTTGGCAAACACACCCTCATCCTGCTTTGGCTGATTCCTTGCAAACAATAGATGATAACCAACGTACGGTAAAAGGTACAATCGACGTATCACTTCGGCCATTCGGCAAGGTTTATTTCTATTTTGTTTTTGAAGCAGTTTGTTCCTGTAATAATTTTAAATTAAATTAGCACTGATGTCGAAATTGTCTATGCATGTTGGGTTTTCAATAGACCAAAGATTGACGTTCTAATCAATCAGAATAAAATTTAAGTATCGTTTTCGCGTATTTGGTCGCAATGATTTTGGTGACGGAGCGCCAACAAATGTAAATGGTGGCTGTATAACACCGGCTCGAGTACCTGACAGGAATCCAGAAGGTGTTTCTGCGTCTGGAACACGACCAGAAAATTTAATTGTTTTTTGGAAGCCAATGTCAAGAGAAGATTGGAATGGACGCAATTTCCATTATATTATTCGATATCGACCCGTAAGTTTTCTCTAAAATCATACTCCAAGATTTCGCAAATAATTAAAACTTACGCTCAATGTGTATATGAGAAGATCTGCACTACTGGGAAACTAGATTTATCCTAAGACTTGCATTTGTTCAGGCTGGATCGGATGCTGAATGGAAGGAAGATATAGTAGAGGATCCATACAGTGATCGCCATACTATTGAACTAGCAGTCGAAGAGCCGTTCCGACCATATGAAGTCCAGGTGGGTATTCCAAATTTTCTCAACTATGAACTTAATGGATGCAAATATGTAAGAAGAGATTTAGATATGATAATAATTGGCAAAAATTATTTTGCTGTACAGGTTCGTGCTGCAAATGAGAATGGTGCATCTAATGTTTCACCGCAGTCAGTAGAAGGAAGAACAGGTGAAGGTGATCCCGGTTTTACACCAACTGGATTCAAAGTTGTCGCGACGGATTCAACATCAGCAATTTTTGAATGGGATCGAGTCGATCCACAACAAGTGCAGGGAAATTTCACTGGAATAAAGGTTATTTCATTTTCTGGATTTCAGCTTTTTAATTTTATCGGAATTATAATTCTGAAATTCTGTGCATAAAAGAAGCATTATAGATTATTTATTGGCCTGAAGAAGATGAGGGTGAGAACGACGAAGGTGAATTGGAAAAGGAGGATATTTCACGGTTAAAGAGACATTCAAAGGCATGTGTGTTTGCATATTATCCCTTCCTTTTTTAAATCATTTCATTTCTGACTTTTACGATTGAGTTGTAAATATCACATTAGTCAGTGATAATTTTCATGATGCTGAATTGCAAGTTATTTCAAACGCAGACTTGTTTTTTTTTGCTATAGTTGAGGCGATCGAGGCGTGAAGTTTCAACTTCACAAACGAGTATGTATGGTAACAAACGCACCGCCATCGTTGCACCGGATAAAAATAGTGCTACAATATTTGGTCTACGACCGAACAGTGTTAATTATGCACAAATTGCGGTGATGAATGGGCAAAATGATGGCACGCCGTCTGATCCGATTTCATTCCGGACGAAAGAAGGAGGTAGATTTACAATAATGTAGAGAATTCTCAATCTATTTCTTGTATGTACATGGTCATCCCATCTCTTCTTTTGTCTTTTATCAAAGTGTAAACAGGTAACTTGAGGAGGTTACTTAGTGATTCAGGATGCTGATGAGAAAATTTCGTAGTTTTTACAGAATTGCAAACTAGAACATGCAAGTAGTGATTTCTCTCTTTATATTGGATTTCTCACTGTCGAAACGTAAAAATTCAGACTGTATTTATATTTTTGTAAGGTGTGATTTTAAAGAAAGAGATTTTGAATTTTATTCGTAAATTATTTTATAGTCCCAACTCCGGTTCGAAATTTGGAGGCATACCCTATGAATGCGCGTGATGAGCAGGAAAGTGCTGTTGTTACTCTACGATGGGATCAGCCACGACATGACAACGGTGATTTAACTGAGTATTCGGTTGAAATATGCGCTGTAAATGCAGATGGTACTATGGAACAAAGAGGAAGCTGTCCAATTAGGTTGCTGTTGGAATTTTTTACAATTTTAGTTGATATGTGGAAAGTTGGTGCATTGTGACATTTATTTTGGAAAATGTTTCAGAAAAACGAAACCTGAAGAACGGTTCCTGAGGATATCGAATTTGGAAAAAGACAGTAAATATCGATTTATCGTTTATGGAAATACAAATGCTGGTCGAGGCGATCCAAATTCAAGGGATGTTAGAACCTTACCTGAGAATGTAAAATTGTCTCGTAAGTTTTGCTATTTGAAATTATGAATAAGTTGCTGTGAGAAAATTGCATATTTGACGACAAAGAATGATGCCAATGATAGTGACATGTAAAATTTCGAGCCGTTGCGTTGCCGGGGAAGTTATGCAATCTGTCGTACTTTCTCATGACTTCAAAGTTAGGGAATTATCAAGACTTAAGTTTGGGAGAGAGCGACATAATAGTGTGTAAATCCTTTTTGAGCTTCTGAGTTTTAGTTTTCTCCGAAATTTCGTATTTTCTACATTGTTGGATTGTAGGGAAACATGAAAAAACTTTTAAAAATTGAAGAAAAACTGAAAAGTGAGGAAAATAAGAATAAAGATGAACTTCGATATAAATTTCTATGAAATAGAAAAGCTGTTTTTGAAATGGGTATGCGGAAAATAAGAGAATAGCTGGATTATTTGTTGGTTCCTGTTCCTTATCAAATTTGGTTGTTTAAAATGACAATCCTTCTACAAGCCGTCCAGGAATGACGCTGAGCACTGTTAACCTTTCCAAGGATGTGGATTTACGATATCGTCCGACAGTCGTGTTATGGCATTAGAAGTGATGCACTTAATAACTGGCATTTTTTTACTGGTGATTCTGACGAACTCAAAATTTCCGTAGAGTTTAAAAATATTTTAATGTGGACTGGTTATTGCAGTTAGTATGTTGGGTCAGGTTTTTCTAGAGAATCCTCTCCTCCACATGTCAATTCGTCTTTGTCTACTAATTTATCTAGTTGGTAATAATAATTAATAGGTTAAGTTACATACGTCTACCGAACTATTTGTGGATGGCTGTCGGCTCAAATATTGCTCGTTGATTGCGGCAAAATCTTTGGTTATCGATGTTGGCGTTGGAAGTTTTTCTAAGAATTTATTTAAATTTTTCGATCTGTGCAGTGGATTATTTTGTGGAGAATGCTGTAGCTAGTTAACGGAATATATAAATGCCAGTTGCTTAGGTGTTAAAGCAAGGATATACGGCAAGGAGTATGGGAAATGGAAAGGCTAGAGGTGAGTTGAGGTAGGAGATGAGGCCGTCGTGTTTGTCCCTGATAATTACTAAAATAAGTGGAGGATTTGTTTAACCATATCTGGACTCTCTCTGAAAGGACTGAATGCGGAAGTATTACAAGAACGATGACAGTCAATAGGGGGATAGAGGAAAGGTGTGATTTCCAATTTAAATAAAGTAGCTATAAAGGAAAAGAATAGATGAATTAGAAGAGTGGACGTGAAATCATAGATGTAATGAAAACTTTCAGAAATGACTGAATATAGGAGGAGGAGATACCTTGGGCTGAAATTGATATAGGAAAGTATATTTGAAAGTTATAAGAGATGTGGATAGAAGAAGATTGAGAAATGGATAGAAGAGGATGGTAATTTTAGGATCGAAATGGAATTATAACTGTCAGAAGAGGAGTTTTTGTCGGTTTTGTTGTTGATGTTTCGATTAGAAGTGGTAGGCGATCAGTCAGTGTAGCATCTTCAACATATTCTTTTAATGAAGTAGTTTTGGAAAGAAAGATTGACAGTAAGCTAACCTATTCACAGTTATTTAAATATACCTTTTGCCAACAGTTTTCCATCCTTCTTTACTCCCATCTTTGATAACTTCTTTAGAATAGTGAAGCCTCAGATTTCGACCTTGTTAGTTTGGTTGAGTGTTTTGTCACAACGGATGTTGAAGGAGACGCACACGGTTACACCTTGCTTTTCCATTCGAACCCACCTATGGGCGATATACATACATATATAATGTTGTTCTTTATTGGGATTTCTTTCTTCGATGTTCCGTTTAGACTTCGTTGTCACATATGTTTATTTATATATTTAGCAGGCAGCAACAATAATCCTATGACCTATCATGTATGTGTGTTTTATTTATGACATATGGGTTAGGGTTGAAAATATACACTAGAGCGGTTGTTAATCCAGTCCACTCTGTTCATCGATTTTCTATTTCTCCTCATTCTCGACATAAACAAGTTTTTAAAAGCTCCAGTCATTAATGGCATCATTATTTATTACTGTTATGATTGTATTCTTCCAACTGTCGTGCATTTGGGCGAAAATTTCTGATGGTATTTACATTTTTTTTTCGTGTGTATATTTTTACAGTAAGGTGAAGTGAGCGTATTGCAGAAGTAAATGACGTGCTTAAAATGCTTAAAGCTGAATGCGAACTTTTTCTTTTGAATGATTAGATTTCACCAACCTTGGTGTAAAGGAACGGTAAAAGTGTTTGCTAGTTTTGAGCTAATTTCTCTATATTATTGTTAAAAAGCTTTTTTTTTTTCATTAAAATTAGCCCAATAAATTTTTAAGAGTATTTCCTTGAAATTTGAAGGTTTCCATTTTAAAATGATGAATTCGAATTTTCAAAATTGTAAATTTGTATTTATTGCCACTTGCAGTTGAGCCAGAACAGCCACATTTGGAGGAAAGTGGTGTTGGTGATGATTTTATCAATATAACATTGACACCGGGTGAATTTAACAAAAATGAAGGACGGCCAATTGGTAGTGATTTGTATGTCAAATATCGAAAAGCTGGCAGTGATGAATGGAAAATTGCGGAACCAAAAGGTATATAGATGTCATTTAGTTTCTCTTCTGTCTTATCCTTTTATAATCACTTAATTACTAAATAGCTTAGCATTTTGGCGTAGTTTAAGATGAACTAAACAGAAATAAAACAGTAGTGAAAGTAGGATTGACTTCGATCATTATATTGCAGTTCTCCTTTTCTGCCTCGAACTTCGAAATGTTAAGTGGTTATTAGTGAGTTAATCAGGCGGAATCATTTGACGATATATATTGTCGTTCTATAGGAGATACCCCTATATAACATATATATTTGATGCTCAGAGTTATAGAAATCGTTTTAGATCAGATCTTTAAAATGTTTTTTCAACGATCAGTAAATTTTCTACAGGTTTTTCATAAACCTGAAGTTTTCAAACTAGTCGAAATAAGCAACTGATAAATTGAATTGCGTAGAATAGTCAATTGACTTATTAACCAAAATACTGGAGAGAATAGTTCAAATTTATCGTTTACTTGAAACAACGAGCTTGAAGCACTTCCATTATATTTGGCATTGCACTTACTCTACTCCTATGTTTGTCTTAAGTCAGAAAAGTAATGTGCAATTGTAATGAATAGTAATTCCCTTTGTTGGTTCGTTTCATATGAAAAATATATTTGAAATCAACATTTTTTTTCTGACATCAGAATTTAGTGCAAAGGACTTCTAGGTGATGATCTCAATGTTCACATTGACGATTTGGAGCCTGGAACGAAATACGATGTGATTGTTATCTCAAAGCAACGCGATGAGTCTGGAAATATCAGGGAAACGGAATCAACTGTCTCACATATCAGTACCACTGGAAGTGGTTGGTTTTTTTATTGTCATATGGAATTGGCTGTTTTTTAAGATTGTAATATCCTAAAGATTGTGATGTGTAATGTGCTTAACTGAGAAATTGTTTGCTTTTCTGGAATTTGTGGATTTTCTTTTTCTAATCTCACATTTTTCCAGATAGGTTTTACAATTTTTCTAATGATATGGAGAGTTTGAGAAATCATTTCGACGACAGCTTAGATTCGCTTGATTTAGATACTTCTTTCGATAAAATTTTTATGTACCAAGTGATTAAAATATGATATTTTCTATTTGCAGCACCATATAGTGCACGAATTTGGTGGTTAATTACCATTTTACTGGTAATTCTCCTATTGTTCATTATTCTCTGCATTGTATGCATGGCAGCTCGGCAACGTGGCGCAAAATATCCTGTGTCGGAGAAGGAAAGGCAACAAGGCAGGCAGCCGATATTTCCTGGCATTAAAGAGAGAGGATTTGGTGAATATATTAAACCGTAAGTTTTTAAATTTTGTAATATCCTTGAATTGAAATTCAGTAGCTGAATATGAAATACAGTAATAATCTTTATCAGTGCAAATGATGAAGTTAACGATTTATATTATCTTTATATTTTGGCAATACAAGGTGGTATTCGGTTTGTTGAACAGTTTTTTAGAAGAATGAAACAGAAAAGGGAAGGACAAACTGAATAGAATGTTCAGAGGCTTGATGTTTTAAAATTTTCCAGAGAAGATGATGAGAAACGGTCATTAACGGGCAGCAAAGCAGAGTCAGAAACCGATTCAATGGCGGAGTATGGTGACACAGATCCTGGACGGTTTACGGAAGACGGTTCTTTTATAGGTAAAACAGATATTTATAAATTAATTTGCAGAGCTTCACTAGGAGAATAACTATAATCCGATTTTCATATTAATACTAAAATGAAAAAATTTCTTGCAGGACAATATGTTCCGAACAAAACATTAGTGAGTACCATAAACGACAAACCTGGCAGGGATTGTGCTTCGACGTTTGTTTGATTAGTCGTTTTTTTCGAGTTAATAAAAGAAACCTGTTATTAAATTAGCCGGTGATTGTGAGAAAGCTTTGGGGATGTGGCTTCTTAATGTGCTTGTTGTAAGTATATAGTAAATTTAGCGATAACAGCTATAGCGACACTGCCATGAGTACTAATATTTCTGTGATTAGCTGAAAAGAAAATTTGGCTCCCTTCTTGCTATTATTAATATGCAATTGCTATAAATGTTGACCCTAATTTCATATCTAAAACAGCACGTCCTAAGGCTTTCCCACTACATCTGATGTGTATGCGTATGTGTGTATGTGCGCATGTGTATGTGTGCGTGTTAGCATATAATCGCGGGTTTCTTTACGTGGCGAAAATTGTTTTTCTTATTCTCTGTGTCATGTTTACGGGAACTACCGAATTATGCTCCCAGTTTTTGTGCAACACTTGATCTCTTGTTGTACCAATTTCAAGTTCACAATTTATACTTTCGAGAATGAAGTTAGATAAAATTCTTTAATTTCTCCGTAATCCCGCCAAAAATTTGAAATTTGAAGTATTTTGAAATTTTTTTGATCAGATTTTTCCGAATATTTTCAAAACACTTGAAATGGTATATTTTCCCTGTTTTCAAGTTAAGAAATTGGGTAGGTTGTGGTACATTTGTAAAAGTGTATTCGTTTAATCATCGGGACATTCCATCGTTTTCTCTCCCTGCTTCATCGGTACAATTTAGTTTCTTTTTTTTCCAATTTTGCTTTAGGTAACTATATACTGTCAAAGGATAAAAGTTATTCAAATTATCTTGAACTTCCCTTTTACTTTCATCTCTTTTATACTGCTCTGTGAAATGATATCTGCCCGAAACGGTGAACTGTAAAGTGGTACCCTTATACAATTATTATTGCGATGAACTTGTTTTCATTTTTTTTTTTGCTTTAAATGGTGGCAGTTGTTGCTAGTATTGCGAATTCTTTCATTCTATTCATTGCCCTACTTCATTTTTTTCGTTTTAATTTTCCTTCAGCATTTTCATTGTTTTAAAGGTATATGGGAACGGTGGACGTTTATATAAATGCAAATTTCTGTGATTTTTCAGAAGCCCAATTTTCCATTATAAGCTATTGCTTTTCGCATTTTTTTTTTATGCACAAAGTGAAGAAGTTTCGTGTGAATTTTTGCAAATTTTAGAAATTTTCTTTAAAAATTGCACAAATTTATTTTGCAGTGAAGCTTAGTTGTTTTTTTTTTTTGTTTTCCACGTTGTTAATCAAAATTTAGCAAAAAATACTCCCATTTTCCTTATCTGTAATTTGCTTTAGAAAATTTATGGAAACGCTCAAGAAATTGAATTTTTATCTTGTTTATTGCTCTCGTTGTTTATTTGTTTGCAAGTTCTATGGATAGAATGTTGTGCCAGCCATTTTCTTTTTTCACCTTTAATGAACGCTATTGTTTTTCTTTTTATTGTTGTTATTGGTTTGTTTTCTTTTCTTGCATGTCAGTAACAATATTGCTAAAACGAGAAAATGTTCACTTCTTTTTCTAGGAAAAAATAAGAAAACAATGTTATCATTATTTTATTAGCTGCTTATTTGTTTTCACTGTTTAATTTCCTTTTTTTTTTTTCATGTGAAGTGTTTGGTTGTTAGATGCATTTGCTTATCAGCATCATTTCTAGAAGTCAGCAGATTTAGGCCTCGATTTATGATGGTCTATATCATCATCATACGTTATTGTAAGTCGATAAGATTACTTCCTGGATATCACTGCTGTTGCTACTGTTGTTGTTGGTTAAAAAAAAGTTTTTTTGTTTGATTTTCGTGTTTTTCTATCTATGATTGGATACCATTTTATATATAAATATCGTAGTAGTAGTAGGAAGAAAATGCCTGGATACATACCATACTTTAGGAATGATAATGTAAATCAAGAAAAGTAACGAGAAAATAAACTAAAATCGATGGCGTAAATTTATCCTTTGATATATTTGTACCTCATGTAAATTGCTATACAAATGCACATATCTCCAATGACTTTTTTCTTTCTTCAAATATAGAAATTTTCAATTTCATAATATATCTTCAAAATTATACACAAATAGAAAGAAATGAATTTTCCATACTGCTTTTTTTGGAAATGTTTCGGTTGCTGTGCCGTTGCATATTCAGATAAATTCTGCATCATGATCCATCTTATTGATAGCAACTAATCGAAGTTTTTACGTATCATTATATTAATCTAGTTTCGATTGAGTATAATAATAACTCGTATGAGCGTGCTGCAGTACTGTTTGCACTTCTACTGTTACTCAAACATTGCCGCTATCATATTCCATAGGCCTAAGTTTTTTTTTTTTTTTGTTTCTTGTCATAGTTTTTTTAAAACAGAAAAGACCAATCATTGCTGATGTCCGGTTTTACGTCCACATCCGTACACACATTAGATATACTCATATGCGGGTGAACTTCAGACATAACCGTCACATGAATGATTTGATAAGAATCTGGCATTGGTCATTTATGTGGACAACCAGATAAAGCCAGTTTTGTTAATGTACCAAAAGATCGGACGAATTAGGCTGGTAATAAAATGCATATATCCATATTCGTTCTATAATAAATGCGCTGCCAATTTGTTGAGTTTTCGTCGTGGTTTATGAACTCTCGCCTTTTTTGTTTACATTTTCCGTTTGAGATATTACGGCTTGGTGTTTTTATATCCAAAATGTTCATGTCAGTACTTTGTTTTTTTCTTTTTTATCTTTTGTTTCTCATTCACTCATTATGTTATTGAAACAATGACAATTTGTCGACATTCCGGGCTTTGTTCGACAACACTGAAGCGCTTCCGTTTCTCTTTTTCCAACTCTATTTACGGATATTTTACTTAAATTGTTTTAAACTTCAATTGTTTAATTTTATACGAATGATATTGGGATAGTTGGAAATTGTGGGAAGGAATAACTTCTGAACTACGCTTCATGTGTTTCTCTGTTTTTTTTGCGATTTCTGTATTTCGGCGAGAAGAATAAAAAAATTACATATAATTTAGATTTGCGAAATTTCACTGTAAATTTTATTGGGTGCTATAATAATAGATTTGTCACTTACTGCAATTTCAGTGATCTATGGTGTCCTGTATTTAGTGTTGTGATTAATTGTTGACATAGCTTCCCCAGTGATTCTGTGATGCTTAAAACATTCCTGAAGGTATGGGCAGATGACTAAATGAGAGTTATATCTCGTTGTTAAAAAACATATGATATTGATGGAAGAGTGGATGGATATTTAAACATTTGATTGTTCTCATCACATTATACATTAATTACCATTTTCGTCAACTAATGGGACTGTACGTTTACGATACCTTGGTGATCTACAGTATAAATGCTACTCATTGATCCGTTTATTTCAACAAAAAAGTCTGACTAAATTTAACGAGAAAATTCTAGTCATCCATTTGATCTACTTGGAAAACATATGTGAAGGAAAATACATTCAATCAGTTGAAGGGAAGTATCTAATAATAAAAGAAAAAGAATTGATAATGATGATAAAAGAATATGGCAGTATTTCTTGTAAATGAAACGTTTAAGTGTAAAGAGGAATGCTCTTTATCATCGTTGGAAACATAAAGCGATGCACATAATAAAACAGGTATACATTGGCAGAATCAATCAACACTTATCTAATTTGTAGTAGTGATTCAATAAGGTTTTAAAACATGAAATTGATAAGAAGCAGACAGGTAATATGAAAGACAATTTCAAATGGAGGTAAAAGGAAAAAAAGGAACGAAAACATCTCAGAATAGAATTTAAGCAAATAAGGTTTGTTAGAAGAATAGGAATGATTTGAGGCAGTATAATCTATGATATTTTCGTAGTGGAATTTTTATCGGACAAGTTGATATTAGACATTGTAAACTATCATTGGTTGTTGAACTAATGAATAGAATGGATTAGATCAATAACAAAAATAAGCTTCGTGTGACATTAGAATAAGTCTTTTTCCATACAGTAATTAATTAGCAAAGCTAGAATATCTTTCATAGCGTAAGGTTATGATCTCGGTTACTACATTATTGAATTAAGCGTAACATCTGGAAAATAAGAATGTTTTGGCTTATTTCTAGTTATAGCAAGATCAAAAAGATCGCTGGGATATATATATATATATATATATATATATATATATGCACAATGTTCAGCAACTAAGGCATATATGGAAATCATAATTATCGGAGTGATCAAAAGTCATAGGTTGGATTCGCTTACTATCCTTCACTTACTTTCATTGTCAAAATTAGAAAGTAAGTTTAAAACATTGGTAACATAATTATATACAGGGCAAGTTGCGTTCCCGAAGTTTTTGAATAAGTTGCGTGAAATTATGCTCACTGTAAACGTGTTTCTGATCATTTGCCATCGTTTCAATGGTATAAAGATTTAATCCAGGATTGTTCTTATCAATTTGTCCATCACCCTACAATACATTTTTAAGCGTGTTTAGCTCCAACTTTATTGAATCATTAAGATCATTTTATCATTTAGCTTACTCTCTGGTTCTACCGGTCATTAATTAATTGTACAGCTATATAACGGATACGATCTAATCTTGATCTGTTGGAAATAATTCACGGCTCAATCGTTACATTATTTAATCCGTAACCAACCCATTCGCTGGATCATAGATGATAATTTGCCACGAAATTGGCATTAAGCATTTTAAGCTTGAATTAATTATTGAGTCTGAGAAAGAGAGGAAGTATATTTTACTTCTTCTATAATTGGTTTCGCTTAATTATATCCTTAATGTAATGTCGTATTTACTATAAATGGATGCGGAAAAAAAATTGAATGTAAATAAACCTCGTAAACTACAGTATAGAGAGTAAATCCGGCTTTCTTAGCATTACGACTCATTTCTTCAACATCTGGTCCTTTATTACTCCATCCATCCGTAAATACAAGCATAGTCTTTTTCGCGATATGTTTAGGTCGACCGCCAT